CATGTATAAGTACCATAAAACACCTAAATTACTGGAAACGGTTGAAGGCCTTTGACTTGTACTCCTTGGAACGCAGGCGAGAAAGATGCATAATAATATACACTTCGAAAATTCTAGATGGATTAGTCCCAAATCTACACATAGAAATCACTCGCTACGAAAGCAAAAGACTCTGCAGGCGGTGCAGAAACCCTCTCCAGGTAATGAAAAGCAGGGTCGCCATGAGTACGCTAAGAGACAACACAATAAGTGTCATGGGTCGAAGACGTTTGAACTGCTTCCCAGCATACATAAGGGGGATTACGAATAAACCCCTGGCTATCTTCAATAGGGAATGGACAGACACCTAAAGTCAGTAACAGACCAGCCGTACTATGGTTCTTACCTCGGTCTGCGTGCGGCTAGCAGTAACAGCCTGGTTGATCAGGCCTTGATCCCTGTCGAGGTCTGGTCATAGACCTGGCCGCGGGGGCGTAGACGGTCGGAATTCTCTCCATGTATACTCCAAGGCTCAGTGATTTCCTTCACTTACTATGGCACTATATCAACGAAGTCAGTGGTTATACTTGGAGGGAGTTTCGGGGCTCATTATCCCAAGCTGCCAGATCTATTACCAGGCCTCACGGTGGATCAGGGACTGATCAACCAGGCTATTATTGCTGGCGACAAGCAAACTAACGTACGAACCACAGAGCAGCTAGTCAGGTTCCGAATTTAGATATTTGTTGAGTTTCCTCTTGAAGACGACCGGAGATCTATTGGTAATTCCCCTTACGAATAATGAGAGGCTATTGAACAGCCTTGAGCCCCTGACACTTATTGTGTTTTCTCTCAGCACATTTACTTTTCTCTCGGGAGATGTTTTATAGGAAGTGATTTCTGTGTGCAGATTTGGGACCAGTTCCTCTAGGATTTTCCACATGATGTACTTTTCTCTCCTGTGATTCAAGGGTCTAGGCCCTTCAAGCGTTCCCAGTAACCGAGGTACTTTACTGAACTTATATGTTCAGTGAAGGTCTTATGTACATTTACTAGATCTGCAGTTTCGCCTGCCTTGACAGGGGCTGGTAATGTTCAGCAGTATTCCAGTTTAGATAACACAAGTAACTTAAAGAGGATCATCATTGGATTGGTATACCTGGTTTTGAAGGTTCTCACTATCCTTCCTATCATAGTTCTTGCAGATGTGATAATGACACTATTGTGATTCTTGAAAATGGGATTCTCTGACATTATCATTCTTTCTAAGTTCTTTATATTAGTTATTGACTCTATTGTGTAGTTTGAATTTGAAGGCAGAATTTGGTTAGAGTCAAGAAAGTTTTTAGTTCATTTCACTTATTATATCACAATGTCAACGGAGTCAGTGGTTTCCTTCACTCATCATGATACCTTTCTTAATAGCTTCTCAGATGTCATTGGCAATAATTCGGACATTTTTTTTTTAAGAAACGAATGCCTTCTGGAGCGGTTCCTTGATGCTGGAGAAGGGTTCTTGATCCTGGAATTGGAACTATCCTTTCTCTTCATTTCTTAGATCAAGCGTGATTAACTTCCACCCTCCAGGAGCTATATCATCCATGTGAGTTTAGCATAACCCCTTGATATACTTATACTACTACTACTACTAATGCTACTACTACTACTTTTACTACTACTACTACTATTAATACTGAAGCTGCAAGTACTACTACTACTACAACTAATAATTAGAACACAAATAATAACAACAAAAATAATAATAATAATAATAGTAATAATAATAATAATAATAATAATAAAATAATGATGATGATGATGATGAATAATAATAATAATAATAATAATAATAATAATAATAATAATAATAATAAAAATAATAATAATAATAATAATATAATAAATAATAATAATAATAATAATAACATTAATAATAATAATAATGGTGACAATAATAATAATAATGGTGATAATACAAATAATAATAGTAATAAGAATAATAATAATAATAATAATAATAATAATAATATAACTGAATGATAATACTAGATAATAATAAAAAATTAATTAATTAGAGACAAATGTTGTGAACAATGTAGAATAGAATCCACCATTTCTTTCCTTGGATCAAATGTGATTACCTTTCTCAGATGTTTTATAACCCTCATGGGATTAGCGCTTTCCCAAGCACATAATGATAGCTGAACTCACGAAGTAAATGGCTGAGAGACAACGCTGATTCACCTCCCCCTGGTTCAGAAAGCAAGCTGGTCCACTACTCCTGTTTCAGAGACCAAACAGTTCCCATCTCTCCTAAATCAGAAATCAGTCAGGTCAAGTCAGGGAACGGGTGGGATTTGAACCCATGGTAAGTGAATCCTAAAACTCACAGGCCAGTGCGTTATCCACTTGCGATTAGTGTACAGTATTGTTATTATACGATATCGTGAACCAACTTCAAAAGTTAAACTGATGCACCGTTCCTCTTTCAGAGAACAAATGGGTTCCCCTCTCCTGTTTAGGAGAGCAAACCAGTTCCCCTCTCCTCATTAGGAGAGCAAGCAGGTTTCCTTTCTCCTGTTTAGGAGAGCAAACAGGTTCCCCTTTCATGTTTAGGAGAGAAGACAGTACCATCTCATCGATTCCTGAGAATTCTCCTTTCAAAAAACCGGCCATATACCATCGAACAGGTGGCCAAAAAAGAAAAACAAAAGTTTCTTTTCTTTTTAACTTTAGTAATGTATACAGGAAAATGGGTTACTAGCCACTTGCTTCCGTCATGTTAGTCGCCTCTTGCCACACACATGGCTTACGGATGAAGAATTCTTTTCCAATACATTGTGGAGATAAGAGAGAATAAACAAGAATAAGAACAAGAACTAGTAAAAAATTGGAAGGTAACCAAGAGGGCTCTGTATATATATATATATATATATATATATAATATTATATATATTATATATATATATATATATATATATAT